TCAGCCCAGAGGGTGTCACCAGCCCCAGCCCCAGCCCCAGCGCCCCTGCATCCCCGAGGGCAACCCCCAGAGGATTCCAGGAGCAGATGGGGCAGGAGGGCCAGGCCAGCCATCTGAGGGCTGTCCGTCCAGTGGCCAGTCTCAGGGGTGTTTCCTGAGCTGACCTGCTCCTCAGGCTGCCCCATCCCCTCCTCAGTCCCCTCAGCGCCTGTGCTTGTCCTCGCTGGGCCCTGGGCCTCAGCACCTGCACCACCGCGAGCCCCCGCGCTCCCTGACGGGCCGCCCTCCTGGAGGGGCGCCTCTCCCAGCACAGCTGTGTCCTAGCAGCCCTCTGAGACGGGTCCCTCTGCAAGGCCCAGCTCCTGCTCTCCGTCCCCGCTGGGCCACACGGCCTGCAGCCGGGAGTGCGCCCTCCCAGTGGACCCCCACCCTTCTCCCCAAGTCTGTCACTACACAGGGCCAGTCTGCCCTGCGCCCGCAGGACCCTGGCCAGGGCCCCACCTCAGCAGCCCTGCCTCTGGGCCGCAGGCTCCGCCTCGTTCGCATCCTTAGTGGTCTCTCCATCCTACCCAGAGGCCTGTCCTCTGTCCTCAGGGACCCCACAGGTCTGAGAGCTCAGCGGTGAGTGCAGATCCACATCACACACTGGGTGCCTCCACGAGTTCCTGCCTGAGACCCAGGGGCCAGGATTAAGTTACGGAGCAGCACCGGCCGGGAGAGCACCGCAAACAGGAGCGCACAGAAGCCAAAGCAAGAAGCAAAGGGCTCAGTGGCTCCAAACCTCGCTGAGGCGCAGGGCCCACTGGTCTGTGCTTCCCTTAGCGTTCAGTCGGGTGAGGTGCAAACAGGCTGCAGGCAGCCCCATCCGCCTGCCCGTGGTGACTGGGTGATGCCTGCCTGCCCGTAGGTCCTGAACACCTGCCCAGGCCTCCCGGGCGGTCCCTGCGAGGGCGCAGTGCCATCTGGTGGCGGCTCGGGGAAAAGCCACACATTGGTCTCTGCCTGGGCACTAGGCGAGCTTCAGGGAGTTTCAGGGAGGCAGTTCTGAAATGGAGGCCCAGAGGCCCCCCGCAAACCTCTGACCGACGCTCTGGGTGTGGACCTGCAAAGCCACAGAACCGCGGGTCCGGCCGTCCTGTTCTGGGCAGCAACATTAACCGTCGTGCGCCTCCCGCCTGGCCCAGGCGGCTGCTCTGGCGCCAGCACCAGGCACCCCAGGGCGGAACCCAGGGGCCTGGGGAGAGGCAGGGACCACGGGGCCTTCCCCTGGACACTGCCCTGAAGGGCCTTCCCTCGGGAGACGTCACAGCTCAAACAGCTGGCGAGCAGACGTCCCAGGGTGTGTGGCTGCCGTGGGAGGAAGGAAGCATCTGAGAGCCACTGGGGGTGGGGGTGGGACACGTGCTCAGCGCCAGGGAAGTGGGGAGAGGGTGAGCACCCCAGACAGGCCCGTGTGCTCAGCTCCCAGGACACGCACCCAGGTGCACGCAGCCTCCTTCGCACGGCTGCCCATGACCTGCCTCACTGTCTGTTCTCCATCCCCCCGCAGATGACACCCTCAGTGAAGGAGGCCCAGGCTGCCGGGCCTGCGGGCTCAGGCCGGGACCAAGCACACTAACAAGCTGGCCCTGGGCCTGGGGGATAGCGAGGTGGTGCGTGGCCGCGCTTCGGGGAGTCCTGGGGAGCACAGAGGCTGCTTGCTGGCGGGGACGCCCGGGGGGTGGTGGCTAGGGCCGCGGGGAGGGAGCCCAGCTGTGACCTGCAGCCTTTCCCTCTCGCCAGCCCGTGGGATTCAGTCTGACAGTTGCTGGATCTGAGCTCCTCCCTCCCAAGTGCTCACGGTCAGACACTAACTCGCTGATGAAAGAGCGAGCGCATTTGAGCTGGTTCAGGGCAGTGGTCAGCGGTCAGCGGTCAGCACAGGGCGGTGCCAGGAACTCGCTCCCAGGTGCATCCGACGGACCCAGCGGGAAGCCATCCTCCAAGGGGCAGTGAATTCAAATCCCTCCCGACTCTCCAGTGACGATGGACCGCAGGCCGGGCTCAGGGAGGGGATCTGAGGACTCGTCGTCAGGGTCTTCAGTGGGAACGGCTTGGACCCAGAATCCCCACTGGTGTCCTCTGCCTGGACCTGTGGTCCTGGTGAAAGAGGCCACGACGGTCGCTCCAAGAGGGAGCAAAGGCCCACCCTCCTGCTCACTGCAGACACTAACGAACGTCGCTGAGGCCCGAGGCTCCTGGGCCTTCCACCTGGAGGGGCGGCTGGGTGAGCAGCCCACAGGGCTTCCCCTCCCTGGAGAGCAGGTCGTGACATATGTAGGTCTTGTTAATGACGGCTCCTTGAACACTTGCCCGCCAAAGCCCTGGGCTGGGCCCTACAGGCGTAGCAGTGAGCGCGAGGCCATGGGCCATGGACAAGCCCACTGCACAGCCTCCGTTAACTCCCAGCCGATGACTTGAAGGACAGCAGTGGTGACCACTTGTCACATTGTAAACCAGCATTTTGGTTCTAGGACTGTGTCTAGGGTGTGCTCGCAGGGAGCCCCTGCAGTGTCTGTGGTAGGAGGCCTGTCCTGGTACCACCCACATCTAGAAAGGAGGCTGGCAGTTAGCAGGCACCCAGCCCTCAGGGGAGGCGGGGAGGAGGCAGCGGAGCTCCCAGTGGGTGGGTCATCCATCCCAGGATGACGCCCACCACCTGCCGGGCCTGCCCTGTGCAGACATCTGATACACTGTGCCCTGTTTGCGGGAGGAGGGAAAGGGTGGGCGGGGCTATGGTGGGAGGTGTGTGCACCTGGAGGCTGTAGGGCCAAGGCAGCCTCTGCCCCAGGGCACTTTCCGGGAGGAGACTGGCTGCCTGCCTCAGAGGTGAGATGAGGTCAGGGAGCAGAAGTCTCCTCCTCCCCTTGGGCCCACGTACCCCGTTGGTACCATTTCAACTTTCTGAGTAATTAGGAATCACTGTCTTAATTTTTAAAAATCTTTAAAGAACATGAAGCTCATTGCTGCATATCCCTGAGCACAGCCCTTCCTGTGGCTGCACTCAGCTCTGGTGCACTCCGTGCCGGGTGTGGCTCTGCCAGTGGAGCCTGGCTGCGCGGTGCTCACGTGTGCACCCAGCATGACAGAGCAGGGAAGGGAACAGCCTGGAACCCCCTGCCCCAGCCTGGGGTCTGCAGGGCCAGCAGGAGCCTCAGTTCCTCCTCACCACCTCGCAGCCTGGTTTCTGTGAAGCCAGGACATGAAGCCCAGGGCCGCACTGACCTCTGACCTCCTGCAATGAGCCCGCTCGGCCACTTGATTCAACAGAACAGGCCTCTTCTTCCAAGGCCACCTGACTGCACATAGTTCCTCTTGCACGAAGCAAATTAAAACGAAGGGTCGACGGCTCTTCTGGAAACTTCCTGCTCTATCTTTGGTTCAGGCATTCAAGGTGAGGCCCTGTGCCCAAGACCAGCCTTGATCCCCGGGGGCCCATGAATAACTGCGGCTGCAGAGACTCGTGTTTCTTCCTGCGGCCCCTGGCCCAACCCCTGGACACCGCTCCCCAGTGTGGCTGTGCTGGGACGCGGGCGCTTTTCCAGGAGCCGGTCTCCTTCCTCCCCGCCTCGGGTCCTCAGCACAGGGAGAACTGAGCTGTGCGCTCTTATACCTGTCGTGCCTGAGCCCTCGCAACCTCCAGGAAGGCCGGCCAGGGGCACTCACCTGCGGTGTGTGAGGAAGCTGCCGCTGACGTGCCCGGAGCCATCGCAGCCGGGTGTGGGACAGGACATGCCCTCCGTCTTGACCGACTTCCAGGAGAACTGGGAGCCATTGAGGTACCCGTCCTTTTGCCTCTTGGCCGCCAGGGGGCAGCCGGAGGCGCTGCGGTGGGAGGCGTACTTCCCGGTGATGTGGCCCTGGCCGTCACAACCCGGAACGGGGCACCTGCGAGCAGACAGAGGAGACACGCTTTCCTGCCTGGCCGCACACAGCTGGTGGCTCTACAGCAACTCAATCACCTGACTCCACTCATCTCTCGGGCCAGACACAAACGGGAAACGTGAGTGGACGACACCACCAGCGGGGTGAGGGCGTGTTTCACCCTCGCACCCGCCCAGGGCCCGCGTCTGCTGACGAGTCCACCGTTGGACAGAACCACGGCTTTGATGGAGGGAATATGTCAAGTCAGTGGGAACTGCAGGGTGTTTTTCCAAAAGGCTATTTCATAAATTCATGTTCTCTCAGGAGCTAGAACACGTTTGTTTGTCTGGCCATGTTCTCCGGAAGCCGGAGAGAGGATTTAACTGAGGCCCTTGGGACAGTGTGAGCACAGAGCAGGCCACGGGGACACCTGGGGAATCAGTGGAAAGCGATGGGCTGGTGCTACAGCTCCGAGCGGCTCATGGTGCTTCTGGAGCTTCTCACAAGGCGACAGCACAGGGCGGAGCACACAGCCAGGCCTCAGACACCTGGGGCTCCTCACGGCTCCTCACAGGCCCCAGGCTGTGGGTTTGGCCTGCATTTTTTCTTAAAACAGTAAAGTTTTAATGCTATATAATTTGCATTGCCTATTTATTTTGATACATTTTAATTTATTTTAATAATTTTTATTTTAATTAATTTTTATTTTAATAACAATTTTTGCAAAGGCACTGAGTGAGGTTAAAATCTCACGGAGACAGCACCAGGTTTATCATATGGATTTTTGAGACCCAGGCTCCCTGGGCAAAGGCCTGGGTGAGTGGGAGGGCGGACGCTCTGGCTCCGGCCCCACATGCCAGGAGCCTCGGTCCAGCTGAGAGTGGAAGTAGCTACATGATTCCACGAGCCAGATGCCAGCACAGTGCTCACCCTGATCCTGTTCAATACCTTCCTCTGCTTCCACGAACCTGCCTTTCCCGTGAAGAGACTGTGTTTTGCCCCCGGGAAGAGGGACGCTTCGCAGCTTACTTACTCAGAACATCAAACTGACGGGTATTCGCCTGTTACACCAACTACAACTTAGACATCCGATTTGGTTTGGGTTTAAATGATCTGACCTTGCAGTTGATTGACACCCCAAAGCGTGTCCTCCCCACCGACTCTCACCTGCTCCCCGCACCTGCCCTGTGGCCCCCCCCCCGCCCCCCCCGCACGCACACCTGATGGGCTCCTGGTCTTCCTTGTCCTCCTTGCTCTGCGCTATCCGGATGCCGCTCTTCTTGGCTCGCGGGCACCCTGAAAGGCTGAGGGGAAGCAGGAGGTCAGCACGCCCCCGCACCAGCCTCGGCTCCTTGACTGCATTCTCTCCAGAGCCCCGCTTCCCGCACGAAAACAAAACCTGGGCCCTCCCGGCACAGCCCCTCTGTGCCCCCCAAGCATCCCTCCTGCAGGGGTGGGGCCTAGCGCCGGCACTGCCGTCACTGAATGCCACCGGCCCGCAGCGCGGGGCCTGTTCTCACGGGGGCGGCATTTTAACGCTCAGGCCGGTGGCTCTCTCCAGATGACTTACTTCTTGCTGATTTCCATGCTGATGGAAACTAGAGAGCTTTCCTACCACCAACTGAGTGCCGGAACCCCCAGAAAAGCAAAACTAAGCATTGATCAACATTTAAAGACTCCTGTTTTTTTGCTTAAAACGTGGAAATGAAAACCCGCTGCTCACTGCCCACCCAGCATGGAGCGCCCTGCAGAACCAGCAGCTGGAGGCCATCTGCCGTTTCACGGTGGGCAGTGTCTCGGAGGCGGACGCTGGGAGGGGTGCCCAGGACAGGCCCTTCTCTCCCGAGAGTCTCAGCTTCCTCGCCTGCACTCCAGAGCGAGCAGGCCCCGTGTCAGCTGGGGGCAAAAGGAGCCGAGGAGGCCCGCCAGGTGTGGGCAGAGACAGTGCTCAGGGACCTCAGACCTTCTCCCAGAGTGGGTCTGTTTGTGATTCCGTCTTTAGGGTCCAAAGTGAAACCCAGCAAAGTCACTCTGGTTTGAGTGAGGTGGGAGTTCATGTCCCAGCCGCAGGAGCTGCGGGAGCCTCAGGAGCCGTGGGAGCTCTGGGAGCCGCGGGAGCCGTGGGCGCTGTGGGCGCTGTGTGCTGGGAGGGGCAGCCCTGCCTCCGGGCGGCCGTGGGCTCCAGGCTCCCGAGGGGTGGCTCTCCGATGAGGCTGCCCGTCCTTTCCGAACAGCGTGATTCTTTCGTCAGTGCGTCCACATGGACGTGAAGGAGACTCTGCCGCTCACCCCCTCCCTCCTCTGCGGACCTGCGGGGGCCACAGGGGACCCTCGAGCAGTGACTTGAACAGAATTAACCCGTCCTGTTAGGGGCTTCTGTCCCACCGGGAATCTGAGGCCGTGGCCCTTCCTGCCTCCCGTCCAGCTGCCCCAGAGCCTCTCCGGCAGGGTGTCCCCCCTCACTGGCCGGCACCCGCTCTGTCCCCTGGCTGTGGCCCTTCACGCTGATGTGCGCTTTGGGAGGCCTGGCCTAGCGCGGTGGGAGCGGACATTGCGCCAAAGGCCCTTCCAGTCCGTCTCTCTCCCACCTTCTCTGTGCGGAAAGCCCGCCCGGCCTCCTAGACTTGGGCTGCGTGTCCTGGAGGCCGAGTTCCCCGCCACGCGTTCAGCAGGACTCACACCCGTTTCCCTGCAGCTCCTCCGTGTGCTTGTACCCGCGGCGCCACCACACGGTCCCCCTGGTCCTCAGAGCGCGTGGATTCGGGTGTTGCTGCTGCAGCAACTCACCTGCTTGACTTTTTACATTTAACTGGAGTTTTAGGTCTAGTTTTACTGCATTTGCTCTAAACCAATGACCTGACGCTGGCTACGCTTTCTGGAGGTGACCCTGAGGTTCTCCGTTAAGACGCCTGGTGAACCAGCTCAGCGCAAGGAAGCGCGTCCTGACGCCGGCCCGTGGCGGGGGCCGCAGCACTGGTGACGTCGGTGGACACCTCCGGCTGTCACAGCAGCACCTGCTCAGCACCTGCTCAGCACCTGCAGTGGCTCCCACAGCAATGAGTTCTCCAGCCCAGGACGTGGGCAGCGCCAGGCGGACCCCAGGAGGCTGGGGGCAGGGGGCAGTAGGACCTGGCGAGGAAACAAGCTGTGCCAGCCAGCGAGCATCCCCCGGTGTGGTCACTGGGTGGCTGCAGGGCTTGACCTCTGACCCGCCGACCAGCCCCACGGCTCTGTGCAAACGACCTTCCCCTGGAGGGCGGTGGGCGGTGTGGGCGGCGGGCGTGCCTCTGGCGTCCTGACTCTCTGTTTGGGGGGGGGCGGACACTCAAGCAGAAGGCTCGGCTGCCAGACAGCCCCGTCCTGCTGAGCTGTGGCGAGTGGCCGCCGGCAGCGCCCACTGCTGTCCATTGTTTAGTTGCGGCCCTGCTGTCCTTCACCCGACGGCCTCCGTTCAGAAAGACCTGGTCCTTCCGCGCTGGCTTGTTCCCCCTGAACACGGTAGGAGGTTCTTGCACCGACCACGGGGCCGAGGCCCACCCTGCGCCGACATCGCACCAAAGCCTCTTTCAATCTGCTCCCGGCACAGGCCCGGCCTAGTGGGCGCTCACAGGATGTGGACGCGTGTCGGCTCGCCCAGATGGCGGTTGCTCCCCGGGACAGCCGCTCTGTGCCACGTGTGGACGCTGCCTCCTCCTGGGGAGTGACCGCACGTGACGTGTGAGCTTCAGCATTGCTGTGGGGTCAGCTCTGCGGCCCGGCTGACAGGACTGTGCAGCCTGTGGCTCCAATCTGACTTGTGAGGGTGTCAGAGAGCCTGCCCCACAGGGACTGTCCTCAGGGGTCTTAAGTCTTCCTGGATCTGCTCTCTCAGTTAAGGACACGCGCTACCGCTGCCTGTAGAGCTGCTGTGGGTGGAGCCAGCTGCAGAGAGAGCTCTGCCGGGGGCTGGGCTGCCCCAGGGCGCTCGCTCTCTGAGCGGCCCCGCAGGGCACGGCTGCTCGTGTGACCACGTACCAGTGGGGTCAGTGGGTGCCAGGGCCGGCAGCAGGATCCCGGCAGGAGGGGGACAAGAAAGGACGGTTTCAAGGGGAGCACAGTGCCCCACGTACCTTCGATGGGAAGCGTAGTTGCCGGTAATGTGCCCAGAGCCGTCGCAGCCAGGGGTGGGGCACCTATGATTAAACACACAAACAGGGCAATTTACTTGAAAGGAATGAAATCCCCTGGACAATAACCTTCTTATTTCTCCAGAAAGCGAGCTCCCTTATGCGCACGCTCCCACGTGAGGAGGGCCTGCAGTGCGGCTCCGGCTGCAGGGACCTGGCTCACCCAGCACCACAGACACCAACCCCAGCGACGCTCTCCAGGGGCCCTGATGCCCAGCACCTGCCTGGGACTCGGGCCCGGAGCGTGGCCCTTGGCTGCTGCAGCCTGTCCTCTCCAGGACCCGGCCGCCCGTCCCTGGAGCCGCTGCAGGCGGGCACCACAGGCCTGGCAGCACCCAGCGCACACGTGGAGCAAGGCTCTCCCTCAGGCATGTGTGCCCAGGGGTCTAAACCGCCAGGCCCAGGACACGGGGCTCCACGCTCCTAACTGGTCAGCCGATGCCAGTGCGGCAGCACCCGGCCCTGGCCCTGGGGGTGACCTCCACCTATCAGACCACCCGGCCCTGGCCCTGGGGGTGACCTCCACCCATCAGACCACCCGGCCCTGGCCCTGGGGGTGAGCTCCACCCATCAGACCACTGGGCAGGTAGATCTACCTGACCGTCCTTGTTCCCTTTAGCTGACCATGGAGCATCCGGGCCAAGGCAGCCAAGGCGCTTCGATTGGCTCCGGCACCTACTGCCTCTGCCTCACCTCCGAGCCAGGCCGTCCACTTCTCCACCACACTGCCTTGCACTATGGGGGAGAGCGCTGATAACGTTTTAGCGATTCTCGTCCAAATCACTTCCTAAGTACGCCCTCCCAAGAATAACCAGACGGTTCTGCAAAGACATTTTCCCTTTAAGCCATTTCAGCTGCATTTGTTCCTGCCAGAAATGTAAAAACTGAGGACAAAAGTCACAAATTTTAAATACTGGACAGATGCCCACTGCTTCTAAGGCAGCGGTTCTCAACCTTCCGGCCCTTTAAATGCAGTTCCTCATGTTGCGACCCAACCATAAAATCATTTTTGTTGCTACTTCATAACTGTCATGTTGCTACTGTGATGAATCGTCATGTAAATATCTGATATGCAGGATGGTCTGAGGCGACCCCTGTGAAAGGGTCTTTCGGCCGCCAAAGGGGTCGCGACCCACAGGTTGAGAACCGCTGTGCTAAGGGATCAGGTGTGCCTCCCACTCAGGGCGCCTCCCTGGTCCGGGTGCTGAGACCAGTGCATGACCTGCGCACAGACGGACGTCCTTGCGGTCAGACGAGCGTGGGGAGTGGAGGGGAGACACGTGAGCCTGGACTGCGTTCAGCGCTGGGAAGGCCATCCTTTGCCAGTTGGATGTATCAACGATTTTTGGTATTAGAAGCTGTCAAATTCTCCTTTAGCCCCAAGAGAGGAAACATAAGTCTAGGTCTGAGGGTGTAGAAGTTGGTAGCTGCCATATTGTCCTGAGGTTCAAGCTTAAGCTATAGCTGTCGGAGAATTACAGAGTGACAGTGAGGGGCGTAGAGAAGTTGCTGGTGGGCACGGGGGTGGAGGGTGGGGGGGTGGGATCTTTAAAGTAGGAGAGTGAAAAGCAATGAGAGGTTAAAGCAGGATCAGGATCGAAACAGCCGGAGATCTGACTGCCGCCTCGACTGCTGTCCAGGTGGCAGCTGCTTCTGTCTGGTCACAAGACCGTTCTGTCACGGCCAAGTGGTCACTGCCTGAGTGATGGCCGGACAGCTGTGCTGTCCAGTGGCGCCTCCTGGACGGCGAGCCCAGAGCCCCGGGAGGAACCCTGCAGCATGAGGCTGTCTGACAGGAGCGGGTCCACAGGAGTTGCCATGGGAACGTACCGGAAGCAGGAATCGTCCCACCGGCAGTAACACACACTTGGCCTTGCTTTTCGCTTTAAAAAAAATCCTAAATTTTTCCTGACTTAAGAACTTAGTGAAAATTTATTTAAAATGTATTCATTTTAACACGAGTAGACAGTTTCATGTGCTGCTCTTTATGCGGCCGGAGGAGAGTGACATCATTCTGTTCAAGTTTAAAGTGAGGCATTACAACCCAAATCGTGTGATTTAAGAAAGAGGCATTTAAAATGCCTTTATCACCATAAAAACAAAACACCGATTTGGCTCATTTTTGGAGCTTTCATTCCTAGAAAGAGGCCTTGCTTTCTGAAAAGGTCTGTTTCTATCTCCAGGGTCTCCAGTTGGGCAGCTGGCCTGCCCCCTGCTGGCTGCGGGGCTGCGGGAGGTGGGAGGGTGGAGGGGGGGGGACTGCCAAGTGGCCAGGACTCCTCCTCCTCACCAGGCCGGCCCCAGTCTGACCTCAGTGCAGAGGGGCAGGAGGGGTGCCAGCAGCTCCCGGGACGCAGGAGTCCCTCCCCCCTCCTCCCTGCACTGGCCACGTCCGAGTCCCCAGCACAGCCCCCTTCTGCGCTCCTGGGCCACGCCAGGCGGCCCAGAATGGTTTCCCAAAACTCCTTTTTTCTAACAGCCCTGCCTGTTCACCTGTGTGTTACTGTTCAAGACTGTAAGGCTTTTGAAACTCAGAGCTACACGCGAATTTCCTAGCTAAGAAATCTCAACATTCAAAATTCTGTTTTCTTCCCTTGGTGAATGAGGACGTGATTGTCCATCTAACAAAAGGGGTGTTGGTGCTCAGGTGGGGCCAGCCCCAGGGCCCCCGATAACGGCTACAAAAGCCATGAGCACCCCCCAGCCAGGCACACGTCCGCTCCAGGAGGGGCGGCTGTGCGGGATCCGAATCCCGTAGACAAAGCGTGGCAGCAGCGTGCACCGCTCGGCTTGGGTTCGAAATGGCAGAGGAGACTAACTGGTTTCTATGGAAACTGCCTGCCAGGCAGGCACAGGTTCTCACATTGGCGTGTCGGAGGCCCGGGAAGGGCCCGCCACTCAGCGCCCTCCTCGCTGCCAGGCGTTGCACGACAGTGGCACCGAGTCTATTTTAAGCCCCTCTATACAAGGGTGTGTTAAGTACAACACCCGCTCCACATGTTCCGTCTCTTCCACTCCACAGGGACTACTGGTAAAACCACTGAGGAGGCACACGGATGATCTGAGCATCCACCCTGGCCCCCTCGTGGAGAACTTCAAGACAAAATCATGTTGGATCCACGCCTGATGTGTGATGTTGCATTTGCTCCAGGGTTTCAGTAAAACGGGAAGAAAAGAGTTTTGGGCACCATGTGTTATCATCTGGCTGGAAACACTGGTCTTGTATAGACATTTAAGAACGGTGATGGGAAAGTCATAATAAAAAAGTTTTAAATGTGTTTAAATTTTGCGGTATCTGGGCCAAATCTAAAAAGGAAAGGCAGGGCCACTCACAGCTTGGAGTTCTCATGTCCTGAGCCAGCCCTTCTCCTGCTGCGGCGGCAGATCTGAGACGCCGGAGACCGGGCCAGGCCTCTCAGAGTGCCTCCTGCTCACAGCTGCCTCTACACATTTGCCACCAAAACCCAGGTTCTACTGGGACCCATCGAGGATCATCACTGATCACCCTGACACGGAGGTCGTGACACACACTCCTCACCGTCAGAGAAGAACTCACTACCTCTGCACCGAGCCAACCGCCACGACGCCCTGCCCGCAGCCTGCACACAGCGCCGCCGACACAGGGGCTTGCCTCTGGTGTCCTTCAGCGAGACTTGCAACCTACACTTGTGCTGTTTCTCCATCACAAGCCGCAGCCCGGACACGGGGCGACAGCAATGCCAACTGTTAGTCACACCACCCGCTGAGGTCACATCACCGCTTAATTACCCGTGAGAACATCCGGGTGCCTCCTCCGGGGGGGTCAGCCCCGTGCCCCCACGATCAACGTGAGGGCTTGAGCCACAGCTGTGTGAGGTGAGAGGCTGGAGCATGAAGGGAAACACCACGTCTCGCACACAGAGCCCGAGCACCGCCATGTGCTTGCGGGTCTGGGCTGGTCCGTCCGTGCAGCCGCCCAACCACTGACGAGACCCCACAGGGACACCCGCACACCTGCCCTGACTCTGAGCACAGGGGCCGAAACATACAGAAAAACAGTCCCTAGATGCTGGGATGATGACGTGAATGCTCTTGGAGGCATTTCAGAACTCGTTTAACAGTCTTTCTATTCCTTTCTTTCACGGCCACTCTAGCGAGGGAACTTAATAAGTAAAACACAAAAGATGAAAAAGTATCATTTTTTTTTCTTACTGCCCTCAAGTTTCAAATAAATCATAAAAATGTAAAATTAAGCCTTGTCGATGGTAGCAAAATCCATTAGTGAATTGGAATGATTCAGGCTTCATATATAAAAGCCTTTGCCCAATTTATATAAAAAGTTCAATTCGAAAGCTTTTTTTTTTTTTTTTGCCTAAAGAGCTATAACTCTAGAAATGTATTTTTTAATTTTGATGTTTTTGGTCACATAATTAAGAAAAAAAATAAACACAGAGAAGTAAAAAATAAAAATACAGGGTGTCCCAAAAAATGTATACACACTTTAACAGCTGAGAGCTCAATTTTGAGAATATTGTGTATTTTAATTAAAAACTGCCTCCATAATTATTCAAAGTGTGTGCACACCTTTTTGTGGGACACCCTCACACCCCGATCTCTATGCGGCTCCTCCACAGCGCTCTCCCCAGAGAGAACGCAGGCCGCTCGGGAGCAAGTGCCTCACTTCTGCCCCGTTTCTTACGCATATTCCCCGAGACTCCAGGGAAGACGAAGCCTTGGGTGATGCTTCAGCCTGTGAGACACGGAACTCTGTCTCCTTCTGAAACTCACTCTCCGGCCTGTTGCTCTGTGTCCCTCCCACCTCCTCCTGCCTGAACTCGGGTGGGGCTGTGCCTCGTGGGCTGCGGTGCCCACGGCTCTGAAAACCACACACCGCCTGGGACAGCACCCCTGTGCCCGCAGAGCCGGGGGGAAGACGGCCCTTCGATTACGTATGTGGGGACAAAACCCACCTTTCTCTTCTGGCTCGAAGTCCTTTCTGTTAAAATTACACTAAGAACAAACACACA